CATTTTTTTCCTAAAACTTCAACACCCCGAGTTTTTGTAAGGAAACATTTTTGGACCATAGTTCATAAAGCAAACTAACATTAATTTTTCATGTTGATTCACACCCTTAAATATTCGCATACCATTAAGGAACACCCTGTATATCAGAAGTTGTGCTTCCAAGTGTACCTTTTAGGTTTCTGTGTTCCATGTAAGGGATGAACCAATTCAAAGAGATACCCACAGTATGCTTAGGTATGTTACTTTCCATAGTGTCCAATGGCTTAGACCAATCCAAAATTACAAATGCTTATATTCAACATCATCAAGTCTGCTATAAACAAATTCATGCAAATCACAGCCTGCAGTTTCGATAGATTTCTCTATATCCATGTCGGCAAACATTCAGGATATCATCAAGATCGTATAGCGGTGATACTCAAAGAAAACAATGAAACCAGATCGTCAGGTTCAGAATGGCTCTAACGCGAAATTGTTGGTGTTCTTTAAAGGGGACGTTCAAGTATTATGTGAGCACTATGGGGGGCTTATTTTGGATGACATGGGGGGTAGGGTAGTCTAGATGATGATTACGTCATCGGTAGTTATTTACTTGTTTACACGAATGGCAACCCTCACATTGTCTTTGCTTGAAAACGAAACGCATTTTCGGGGATTCCCGCAAATAATGCATACGTTCAGTGAACAGCGCGCGGTAATTCCCCTACTCGCTTTAGAACCGAGTAGGGGAATTACCTCGCGGAGTTCACTTGTCTAAATTCCCTCTATCAGTGTATTGTTTCATTTGGATACTATAGCGAGTAGACGTATTGTAAGCATAGTAAAGCAAGTTAACATTTGTGTTACGATTGATTCCATTAGCCAAAGTTTGTTTAAATAAGATGTCGTTTCACATAGACAAATCCAAGTTATACCAAAAAGTTGTTTGAAAGTTTTAAAAACCTCATACAAGTACGAAAGTACAAAATGTACAAAAGTTAGTTAACGAAGTGTGGCGAAATTACAAATTACAAGCAAAATCCGACAAGGAACTAGATATTATTGTATCTAAGAGGATCGAAGAAGAATTGCAAGCGGCGACTAAGAATAAATCCAATCTACTACATTTTTTTTCTAAGGTGAGTGACGACATCATTTTAGATACCTATGAGTACTAGAAACATTAGAAATCGCCAAAAAGTTTGTCTTTACTGATTAGAAAATATTATGGCCTATCTCAAAGTATAGAGGTAATATTCATTATATTATAGATTTATTTCTTATGATCGATTCCGTCAATTGGTCACAAAGTACAGGATGTTAGTTTTATATATATATACAGAAAACTAACACCCTGTATTTTGTGACCGGAACGAATTGCTCGTTTAAACATATTAGATTTAAAGCCAAAGGGTTTTGTATTTACCATATATATTGCCATACTTTGTATTTATGTAGCTTAATAAGAGAATCTTAAGCAGAAGCCATAGAAAGTTTTTATTTCTAGGCAACCTGTAAACCTGCAGAAAAAACACAAATTATACAGTCAGCTACAAATATTAAAAAAGAGGAAGAAGATAAAATAAAACCCGGTAATGAATCACAACAGCAATGCAAATTAATGAAAATACAGATAAACAGAGAACAAAATCTTCTCAGGAAGCTATGAAAAATAAGATTGCTCTCCTCGAAAAAAATCTGAATGCTTTGTATTCTGCCAGAGGTACTATGCCAAGCCGTGCTGAAGTTGATAAACAGATCATTAAGTTGCGCGAGGAAATAAAAACAGCAAAACAGTCTTTAAACAGGAAGGGATGGTATGAAAAGAAAGTTAGAAGATATTTATCATAAAAATCCAGAAATAAAAAAAAGACTATCTCTGAGAGATGCAGTGGGACGTCCTAATCTTGAAAGCAATCAACATTCACTATTGAAAACAATCACGGATATAGCTTTATTTGGGAGAGCAGCAGATGATAGAAGACGAACGGAATCAATTCGCAGCGTAAAAACTCTTTATGAACCCACACAAGAATTACGTAACATAGGATTTGACATTAGTTGCAGCGGGACATGTCTTCGTTTGATTCCCAGAAAATCTAATTCTGCAGAGGGACGAAGACATGTATCGACAGTCTCCGTTAAGCTCATTCGGGCTCAAACTGATCACCACAAGAGCCACTTACATAGCAAGTTCGCTGAAACATCAATCCATTATTTAGAGAACATAGCATCCATACTTGGACCAGATCACGTATTTTTCATATCTCAAGATGATAAAGCTCGAGTCCCTATTGAAGTAACTGCGGCAAATAAGCAAGCACATCTTCTAATGCACATGGAATATAGAATCAAATTGCCTGATCACGATTGGGTAATCGCTGAGCATCATAAATTAATACCATCTGTTTATGCTGGTATCAAAATCACTTCCAATATGCTAGGACAACCGCAAGCCGTTGGATATCCTGGACCAACATACATCGATATTCGAAGTGGAAAGCATAGTTCATCTACTGCTAATACTCATGTTCAGGATTCCGAGACGCTTCTCGAACTTGAAGAGTTTCGACCATTAGCTGAAACTGACCACGGACTAGTAAAACCAGTGGTAATCATGACGGTTGATGGAGGGCCAGATGAAAATCCACGTTATCAAAAAGTCATAGGGTTTGCTATACAACACTTTGAGCGACATGATCTCGATGCATTGTTTTTAGCTACCAATGCTCCTGGAAGAAGTGCGTATAACAGAGTAGAGCGCAGAATGGCTCCTCTTAGTCGGGAACTGGCTGGTTTAATATTACCTCATGAACATTTTGGGTCTCATCTGGATGAACGTGGCGATACAATTGATGAACATTTAGAAAGATCTAATTTCGAATTTGCAGGAAATGTATTAGCTGAAGTATGGAGTTAAATGGAAATTGATGGCTATAATGTTAATGTAAAATATGTTGGGGCAGGTGAACAAGATCTTCCTGATTTTTCAGAAATTAAATGGTACTCAGACCATGTGCGCGAGAGCCAATACTTGCTTCAAATTGTAAAATGTAGAAATACAGAATGCTGTCGTCCAACAAGTGGCCTATTTAGATTACTAGACAATAGGTTTCTTCCACCACCTATCAAAGTAAAACAAACAGTTGATGACTTGGTTTTTTTCTTAATCTTCCAGTCAATTTAGATCTGCGCTTAAGTGCTTCGCTCAAAGATTTCCTGCAAATGCCCCACGATTATTTTAATCCGACGGTAAAATTGAGTCAAGTCGAACATTGCAAAACGTGTGCGGTCTTTATCATGCTTTCGTCAAGTCACTAAATCGTCACATCGAAAATATCCATAAAAAAGTAAACATGCACACTGATAGGAAAGTTAGACCTGTAAGAGTCGCTGCTCGTCGTGCTAATGAACTGATGTGCATCATTCAAAATTTAGAGCACCATGATGTTGAATGGCTCGATGCGAAAATCCGATGAAAGTGAGCAAACTCACAACACTGAGCAGCAATCGAAGCAATCCAATGTCATCGAAAACTTAGAATCATGGATTCGGGTTTCATGGACTGAAGACTGTTAATTTGAATTTAATATATGTACTAAACATTTAAAATAAGATTGTTATGTTAGTAAGATATAATATTTTTGTCCTTTACTCTATGTTGAATACCGTATCAGTAAAATATAATTTCTATCCTAAATCTATTTTCTTATTTCTCAAATTATAATTATAACGTTATAATTTTAATGTTAAAAAAAACAATACATTAATTGACAAATGTTTACGTAAGCATGGGGGGAGGGGGTAAGAGCCTTGCTTACTTTTGCTGACAGGGGGATGGGGGGTAAATAATTGTAATAAATAATAATAATAATAATAAATAATAAATGGCCTTTATTCGTCACACGATTACAAAATAATTGGTTTAAAAGGAACAGTGACGAAAAGGTGGAGTGTCAGCTTATGCTGTTTTTCAACCCGACCCGGAAAACATTGACACAAACTATAGAGAGAGAGAAAAAAAAACTTAGAATATAACACTTATCAGAGAAAGGAAACAATCAATTACCTGTGGATATGCATAAAGTGAAATTTTAGCCATCCGACTGCTTTAAACTCATCTTAAACCTTTTTTTAAAATTGCTTACGCTATATTCTTTATACTCACTTGATAAGCAGTTATATAGTTTGGGTGCCCAATACGAGAAACTGCGTGTGAACAATGCTGTCGAATGCCGCGGGATAAGTAAGATGAGTTTATTCCTAGAGGATCTTTGATCGTACTGGCAGAGGAGGCTTAGTTTTGTATAAAGATAATATGGCGCTTTAAGGATAAGGGTCTTATGTACCAGAGATAGGCAATGCAGTTTCCTCAATTTGTTCATCTTAAACCATCCCGATTGGTCAAAAGCGCTACTAATATGATCAAATTTCCGGATTCCATAAGAAAATCTGATGCATGAGTTTTGTATCATCTGAATCCGCTCGGCATCACGTTGTAAAAGAGCAGGTCCATAAACAGAGTCACCGTAAGATAATTTTGACAGGATAAGGGACTCGCAGAGTTTAAGCTTGAGCTGTGTCGACAGGACACTTCGACTCGGATATAACTGACGAAGCACATTACAGGACGCATTGCATAGTTGGTTAACATGTTTAGTGAAGCGTAGCTTGCAGTCAAAACCAGATACCAAGGTTTTTGCATTCGTTTACGAAGGATATGTCTTCATTATTCACCATAATATTAATGCGATATTGATTTATTTCACGATTCTTTTTGGGCCCAAATAAAATGCAGCATGATTTGCCAGGATTTAGTTTTAGATTGTGAGCACTAGATATGTCAAAAATAGACTGCAGGTCTTGATTTATTTGATGTTGGCCAAGCATATATTCATCAGGATCGAAGCAGTTATAAAGTTGGGTGTCTCTGCTTACGTAATACTTGAACGGCCCCAAACCATCGTGCTTACGATCTTCCTTTATTTTTCCGCGAAACTGGATCGCAATGTAAAACTTACCATTGTATTTGTGCTGGTCGTGCTGGACCTATGGTTGATCCTAGCAGGGTTTGTAGCGGGGGAGGAGGTTTGACTGGAGATCTTGTTTTCAGGCGGACCACCGCCGTTTTTGACGCTAATCTCCATGTAACAGTGAGACTCCAGGTGGCTCTGCGCGCGCTTTTCTTCGTTTACTATCCGCCTGCAACGGAAAAGTGCATTTGAACAAAGTGCTATGATCGCTGCCAATTTCTTTAGGTCACAGTCACTGTACTCTGTAGAGCCTGTCGTTAGCCTGTCAGGTCTGGTGGCTCAAACACCAGACAAGTTGTAGGGGACAGGGGAAAGTGAGAAAAGGAGGAGGGAAAGAAAGAAATTAAATTTTTTTATTTAAATATTTGAAGTCAGACAGATCTATCAAGTGTTACAAATTTTGATTTGTTCAAAACTAAATTTTGGTTGTTTGATTTTTGAAAGCTATATTTCTGAAGAACTAAACATGAATTTAATTTTGTCACGGTACGAGTCGCGGTCTGGAATGTTTGACTGTGTAATCCACTGCTTTGCGCAGCGAAGAGTCGCTGTGCGAGTCTGCTTGCTGGTAGCTGCCATACCTGTGATGTAATTCCTAACGCAGGGGATGTCACGACGTCTAAGGATGGTATCGCTCGCTATCAATTGATCTTTTAATAGTGAGATGCCATGTGGCATATAAGACATTTTTTGTGGCTGTTGTTTACATTCCTGACAAAAATGCTGTTGATGAATCCGAATCGGTCTTTGGTGCTGTTGAGCAACTGGATTATTTGCACGACTGTAATTCCCTGTTTCTCGGAGATTTTAATGTGCCTCAACTTATAAATGGCAATCTTCTAGACGCTAGGAGACGCATTATCCATAATTTTTTGGACATTTTTAATTATAACCAGTCAAATAATGTCTTAAATGAACTTGGTCGGTCGCTAGACCTGGTAATTTGTTGTTAAGCGTGATGAACTACCTCTAGTGCCAGAAGATAGTCACCACCCGGCACTAGCTGTTGATTTGACTGCCATGTTCATTAAAGAGCCTAAGTTTACATTCGATCATAGTAAAATAACTTATAACTACAGAAAGGCTGACTTTGTCAACCTGTATCAAGAGCTAATTCAATTTGACTGGGATGTTTTATTCTGCTCTTCTGATGTTAATTATATTGTTGATGTATTTTATGGCAACATTTTCCAAATTATTGACAGGCACATACCTCTGTATAAGAATTACAGTCACCGATACCCGCCTTGGTTTCACTCAGCTATTATTAAGAACATTAAACTTAAAGCTAAATTTAGGAAAAAAATCAACAGGCCTGCTTTTGTTGATGATCTACAAGAATTCAAAAGTTTGCGCCGCTTGATAAAGAACCAGATTAAATCAGCGTATGATCAGTATATTGAAAATATCCAGAATTCTTTAACAATTAACCCCAATGCTTTTTGGTCATACGTTCACTCCAAAAACAACACATCACGAATCCCAGGGATAATGAAATTTCAAAATAATTCTATAGATCAGCCTCAGGATATAGTAAACGCATTCAATGAGTTTTTCAGCAGCGTCTATGTTACTCACAAGCCCCATAATAATGCCTCACTAAATCATAGTAATTTATTTGTCCATTTTCATCCAATTGAGGAAAATGAAGTGAGGAAGACCATTAAATCACTAAAGGATAAGATGACATCTGGTCTAGATGGCATCCCGTCCTTTATAGTCAAAGATTGTGTGAAAGTGTTTGTTGGTGTTCTAACTAGGATTTTTAATATTTGTCTTATAACAAAAAAAATTCCAGATATTTGGAAGATCGCTAAGGTCTGTCCAGTGTTTAAGTGTGGGGATAAGTCAAATATTGAGAATTACAGGGCAATCTCTATATTATGCATGTTCTCGAAAGTCTTTGAAATAGTCTTGTACAGTCGCATTTACACTGCCGTACAGCGTCAGCTGTCATTGCATCAACACGGATTTGTCGCTAATCGCTCAACAACCACAAATCTATTTATAATAACGCAGTACCTCTCGGAAGCAAATGATAGTAATGAGCAAGTTGACGTTATTTACACCGACTTTTCGAAGGCTTTCGATAAAATTAACCACAAAACTTTATTAAATAAGTTAGGTGCACTTGATTTCACAGATGATGCTAGGGAGTTGATGAAATCTTACTTATACGATCGTAGACAATTTGTTAGCTATAATGGTTTCCAATCTGAGACCTACTTGGCACCTTCTGGAGTTCCTCAGGGGTCCAATCTGGGACCATTACTGTTTTTGATATTTATAAATGACCTCTGTGACCCAGTTGAATGTGAACGCCTATGCTTTGCTGAGGACCTAAAAATTTATTCGCAGATAAATGCTCCTGATGATTGTATCAAGCTACAACACCAATTAAATTTTGTGCTGTCTTGGTGTATAGAAAACAAGTTGGAGCTTAATGTGAGGAAGTGTAAAATAGTCAGCTATACCAGGAAAATTAATGTTTGCGAATATCCGTACTCTATTGATGGGTCTGTGCTAGAAAGATGCTCTGATGTACGTGATTTAGGTAAAATCTATGATTGAAAGATAACTTTTAGTCAGCATATAAATAAAAAAGCATCAGAAGCATTGGCGGCTTATGGTTTCATAGTAAGGAATTGCAGGAATTTTCATAACATAAAGTCTATTAAGTTATTATATTATGCTTATGTTAGATCCAAAGTCGAATATTGTAATATTATTTGGAGCACTTACTATGAATGCTACTTACTGCACATCTATTGAAAGAGTACAACGGAAGTTTATGAAGTTTGTTCTGTTTAGAATTGATGGGACATATCCAGAGAGAGGTAAAAGTAATGACGAACTATGTAGTCGCCTAGCACGTTGACTGCCACCATGGGCTGAAAAAAAATGTCCTACTGGCCGTAAGCCAATGTTTCCATGATTTCTTTCAAAATAATCTAAACTGCAAGCAGGACAAAAATAAAACCCAAACAAAAATAAAAAAACGCTGTTTTTACAACTTTTTTTTGTGGTGACACATTGGCATCACGCGGCTTGTCATGACTAGATTATGCCGTTTGGCCGCGTGAGACCAACGCGTCACCACATTTTGCCTGTCTTGACAAGTATATCCGTATACATTGCGTAGCGTATAACATTCAATCATCAGCTTATTAGATGAATGCATCGCAGTGTAAAGAGTTTGTCGCGTGTAACAGTTGAGTTTTCTGTTTATTAGTTTGATCAATAGTTTCTGTACCCTGTGTACCGACAATTATTATACATCGGTTTCTTTAGCAATGGCCCTTCTGCAACGTAAAACATATTTAGTGGGAACTTTGCGGTCAAATCGGAAATATAATCCTAAAAGTGTGACAGAAAGGAAGTTAACTAATGCTAAGTACAAAGCACAAGCATGAAATGGTTATCATCAAAAAAGAGATAAAGAAATACAGAAACCCAGAGCTGTAATCGAATATAATCAATATAAATCCTACATAGACATAAGTGACCAATTGGAAAGTTATAACACGTCTTTGCGCAAAAGTCTAAAATGGTACCGGAAATTAGCTATTGAGTTGTTGTTAGGCACAATGTTAGTAAATGCGTTTATTGCATACCAGGAAGTCGCCAACGAAAAAATATCCATAACGAGCTTCAGAGGAAAGATAATTGAAGGACTCATCAAAGAGCAGATCACACTAACACAAAATGTTGTTCCGGACGATCGCCTGCAAAATCTTGGTCGATCCCAAAGACGTCGATGTGTTGTATCTTTCGATGAAATCAAGAGAAACGATGGAAGAAACGTTGCTAAACGTAAAACTCCGCAAACGACGCTAAAGTGCATGGGTTGCGAAAAGCACTACTGTTTAGATTGTTTCTTTCAGGTTCACATTTCTACCAAAACTGAATAATATTTTCAGTTTCACATGTTTAAGTTCTCGTTTTGTTTGTTGTTGATCTTCTTTCTTTTTAAAAGGTTTGTCATAATTATTTAGAAATAAAAACCACTGAAAACTGTAACTTCGACTTTTACTACAATATTTTGCCATGTGAGACCGCACTGGTATCACACAAGTAAAAGCCAACAGTTTCTACGGGTTCATTGGGCCGCCTATTCATCGATACAATGTAATTCAAATGCAGCTAGGAGACCACCGTGGCTTCACGAAGTAATATGAGTTCGTTGCCAGTGTGAGTCCACTTAGGATTCACGCGGCTAGAATCTTCATAAAACCATGGTGACACGTTGGTCTCACATGGCAGTCAACGTGTTAGACATGTTGACCTTGAAAAAACGCACGTTCTGTGCTTCAATAATATTTGGCTACAAAATGATCAACAATTTAATTGATTGCCCCATGATCCTGGAACAGATCAAGTTTCGTACTCCAACGTTTGCATCTCGCAATCATAAAATATTCGGGCCTCGTAGAGCTAGGACAAACATTCTTCTCAAGTCGCCGTTATATGTAATGTGCTCTAACTTAAACAGAATTGGATGTTATTGTGATATACTTACGACAAATGTTAATTACCTGCTAAAGGCAGCTAAGGCTTATTCGGACCAATAGCTCATGTTACAAATGTATACCTGTGTTGCATTTGTTGTTTTCTTTTCGCTTTGTTTTTTGCTTTTGTATTATGTTTATAAATTGTCCTATAAATGGCAAACTGTTGGACAATAAAGCTATTATTATTATTATTATTATTATTACGAGTATTATTATTACATACCATGGGGCATTAGTTATTGTTCTGAGTGTTCTACTCTGCAGATCTTGTAGTTTACGCATTTACGACTCGGATAAAAAGTACCAAGCCGCAAGTGCGTAGGTTATTGCAAGTCTGATGATGGTTTCGTATGTCCGAATCTTACTGACCGAACTCAATTTTGAGGTTCTACATAAGAGAGCATACAGTTGCAGAAATGTAATTTGGAATTCAATTTTCAGTGTTAAATGTTTGCCTGACGTATAGTAACGTATTCAGCACGAAATGTAATGTCATTAGATACTGAAAATACGAGGGATAGTTATGAATGAATATTCCTGGCCTACAACAGAAACACTGGAAGTTTTTAAATGAAAATATTTTATTATTCAACATGGTCCCCTTTTAACTCAAAACACTTTTTACATCGATCCTGTAAAACTTCTAAGCGTTTCGAAAAAATGTTTCCCCTTGGTCCGTAAACCTGCTTTCCACAGTCTCTATCAACACTTTCGGAGAACGTTTGCAACTTTTACATATTTTTTTTGAAGATATGAGAGGTACAGAGTCAATCTACTTGACGCATTTGCTCTACGGGTCTGGCCTATCGATACGTAATCCCTTCTGAAGCTTCTAATTTGAATAGGTAAGAGAAATCGATGAGGAACTAGCTATTTTCTGTAATTGATTTCTGAAAGGCACCTGTTTATAAAATCACTTAATTTTTGTTTTGCAAGGTATACTATTTGCTTTATATACGGTACATTAACTGTCTGTGGATAATTTTACCGAATGCTTGCTTTTATCATACATTTTGAAATTACCGATTATGGATTGCCATGTATTTTAGTCGAATTCTTTTGTGAACTATTTTGTTGTGGAGTACCTGGGCGACTGTCATTTTACTAAAATTGGTGACGGACTGGAAATTAAAGAACACGCTTTGCCTATACATATCTATATTTAATCCATAGTAGATCAAGTTTTTTTGTGGATTGTACAAGCCCACGCACAAGCCTGCCTCTATGGGTTTCCTATTTGTTGCCATTCTTGATCTGTATATGTACATGCTTTCACGTTCATAATACCATATTACTTTTTGGTGAATAAACTTTAATCTTTACTTAAACTGTTTCGCTTATATCGACTATAAAAATGGCCACGATATATTTCTCTGCATAATCCTTCAAATTACCTATTAAATACAGGAAATTACAGCTACTAATACCACTGCGGAGCAAAGTATCTCATTCATAGACTGTTTATAAGCCGCTTACTATAAATATAAAATTTATGTTTATGGTTTCTGTAGGTGAGATCATCTCAGTACTGTTGCAATAAGTCAGATGATGTGCATAAAAAGGCTCATCATCCTGAGCATTTGTTAGTTTTAGCTTTAGAGTCTATAAAATTTTATGCACCGGATGAGCCGTTTCCTTTGTAGCAGTGGAAGATAGGCGGTAGGGTTTCGAAGACGTAGAACAAGTACTAAGTATAGGAAAGTAAATAGCTTTCAGGATCCCAGGCGAGAGCAAAGTTATCAAAATACGGGAAATTATTTGTTTGCTCTTCACGTCAATTGGCGCGGAAGTACTGTAATTGCGAGAAATGACCTGCCACAAAACATATGGGAAAAGGGTCCCAGTCGATTTGTATGAAAATTCAGTATGAAATATTTTTACATTCCTGAACAAAAGTGACCATGGGACCAAAGAAACCCTATGATTAGTTTTTGAGAAAGAGGCATACAAAGTTTGCCCGATTTGATAGTTCTCAGGCCAGAATTCGGATACTCATTATGATAAAGGTCAGTGCCAAGGTAAGTTGATTTTCACATGCACAAGTTGCTCAAGAATTCAGAAAACTCAAGAATCTTTCAAGGACACAAAAATCGAGGTTGTTTCCTTGTCTTTGATTATGACCTTTACAAGGTCAAATTAAGTTTATGTTGATTTTAAAGGTTTAGCGTAGCTCCAGGGTATTGTGTTTTATTGACTATTAATTTGAGTTTTCTCATTACGAGTATATATTAAACATTGGATATATTGAATACCGAATATTGAACATTGAACATTGAACATTGAACATTGAACGCTGAACGTTGAATGTTGAATGCTGAATGCTGAATGTTGAATGTTGAATGTTAAACGTTGAACGTTGAACGATGAACGTTGAACGTTGAACATTGAACATTGAAAATTGAACTTTGAACACTGAACATTGAACATTGAACATTGTACATTAAACATTGAACATTGAATATTGATTATTGAACATTGAGCATTGAACATTGACCATTGAACATTGAACATTGACCATTGAACATTGAACATTGAACATTGGACATTGAACATTGGACATTGAACATTGAACATGGAACACTGGACATTGAACATTGAACATTGAACATTTAACATTGAACAATGAACATTGACCATTGAGCATTGCACATTGAACATTGAACATTGAACATTGAACATTGAACATTGAACATTGAACATTGAACATTGAACATTGAACATTGAACATTGAACATTGTACATTGAAAATTGAACATTGAACATTGAACATTGAACATCGAACTTTGAACATTGAACATTGAACATTGAACATTGAACATTGAACACTGAACATTGAACATTGAACATTGAACATTGAGCATTGAACATTGAACATTGAACATTGAGCATTGAACATTGAACGTTGAACATTGAACAAAATAATTGTCAATGAAGTATATCTACAGGGTGGGGCAAAAGTCGCGAAGGGATTTGAAAAATTAATAACTTTTTTAAATTTTAATTTTAATTTTTTTCCCTAACACAAAACTAAAATGCAATGTTTGGAGTTTGTTTACAATTTAAGTGTGAAAGATTACATCACGCAAATGACCGCCATTTTCAGCCTCGCAAAGTGCAGCTCTTGCAAGAGCATTTTCCATTACCCGAGTCAGAATATCTGGCCCCAAAGCACTTACTTCTGCTCGAATATTATCTTTTAGTTGCTGCAGGGTTGTGGGTTTATTAATATACACTTTTCCTTTCAGATATCCCCAAAGGAAATAATCAGGGGCTGTTAAGTCCGGCGAGCGGGCGGGCCAATTGAATCCTGAATTTCTCGAAATTAAACGTTCGCCAAAAATCTGCCTTAGAAGGTGCATAGTGGCTCGAGCAGTATGCGCAGTGGCTCCATCTTGTTGGAAAGTCATCGTTTGATTGTCAGCAAGAGCTGGTCTTAAGAAATTTTGAATCATATCACGATATCGGTCGCCATCTACAGATACAGCATTCCCATCGTGGTCTTCAAAGAAGAATGGTCCAATAATTCGTTGAGACGTAACTGCGCACCATACTGTACATTTAAGCGGATGTAATTGCCTTTGATGAACCACCCTTGGGTTCTCGGTACCCCATATTCTGCAGTTCTGCTTATTTACGAAGCCATTCAAATGAAAATGGGCTTCATCGCTCATGATCAGAGAATGAATAAATTCATTATCTTCTCGAGCCATTCTTTGCAAGCGAACTGCATAAGTTAGTCGTTCTTGAAAATCTGCTGGTTTTAGTTCTTGCACTAGCTGCACTTTATATGGAAACAGATGTAAATTTCCTCTTAATATTCTGCGTAAAGACCTTTGAGACATCTGCAGCTCAGCAGAACGTCTTCGGGTTGAGGTTTCCGGATTCTCCTGAACACTCTCCTGAACGCGTTGAATGTTCCCTTCATTTCTTGCGGAACGTGGCCTTCCGCTTCGTGGGAGATCCATAACTGTGCCTTGTTGCTGAAATCGTGCCACTAAGCGTCGAATCATTGATTCAGAGGGCGAATTCCGCAAATTGAAATGACGACGATATGCTCGTTGAGTTTGAATTATTGAATGGTGATATTCAAAATAAAATTCTATAAGTTTGGTTCGTTGATTGAGGTTGTAACGCTCCATAATTAATCTCCAGGATTTATTTTACACGGTCCTGAAAGAAAAATGAAAACAAAATAAATTTAAAAAAGTTATTAATTTTTCAAATCCCTTCGTGACTTTTGCCCCACTCTGTATTAGCTGTGTTATCCTTTATGAAGACAAGTTATGTTCAAAATTATAAATTATGATTTTTAGACATTTGCTTGTTTTTTGATGTTGGATGGTCAGTTTCTGGATATTAAACCATGTGTCCTGAAGCGTATAAAAGCAAAACCAAAATTACAGGTTAAGAACGTTACAAGTAGTGATCTATACTTTCAGGTTGATTAACCTTGCTCGTTTGAATCGAGAAAACAGCGCCGTCTTGCAACTGCAAGTGCTTGCATGCAATGGTCATGCGGACTGTAAAACGATTTTAAGATACAAACAACTTGAGAAAGCCGATGTGTTTTACCTGGCTGCTCTGAATATCTTGTAGTACACGACCATCATAACAGCTAGCGGTATGTAGAAGCTGCACATGGTGGCGTATAGCTGATACGCAAAGTCCTGCGACACTAAGCACACGTCCGTCCGTTTGCTGCCGTCCTCTTGCTTTTCCTCGTGCTCGTTGCCGAGGATCAACAGGGGAGGCAACGAGATGCAAGCAGCGAAACACCACACCACTATCACCCAAACGATCATGCGTTTAGGGGTACGCTTCACGCCGTATTCCAGGGGCTTCGTTATGGCGTAGTACCTGGAACGAATAGGAAAGCTGTCAATAAAGGTCCAATTATAGATAAAAAAAATGGCGTCGATTAGGTTGATCCATCCATTGCGCCAGTCAAGAGCCAAGGTTCTGCGGACTGGTCAAATAACGAACGACGAGACGAGAGGTTGATCCATCACTTCCCACCCAACGACGTCATCACTTCTCAAAACATTCAGATCAGAGAGACTCAGATTATAGATAATTAGTTTTCCTAACGAAACTGGCAAGTAGCTTTATACGCAACCTGAGGAGGATATCAAAGAACTGGTTTCGTGGCAACCTTACGTTAATAGTACATATTCTAAAATTATTTCGATATACACGGGATGTTCCATATATTCCAAATTTTAAAGCTTTTAAAAACCAGAAGCTTGATATCATAACATATGGTTTCCATTGTCAGCTGTTTAGATGTTTGATCAAACGTCAGAAAAATGCCCAGCTGGCGGCTCGCAGCCCCCGCCATTTTTGAAGATATATAAAGTTTTTTTTGTGACCTTTTTGAAAATTTTGTAAATTTTGTAAATTTTGCAAATTTTGTAAATTTTGTAAATTTTGTAAATTTTGTAAATTTTGTAAATTTTGTAAATTTTGTAAATTTTGTAAATTTTGTAAATTTTGTAAATTTTGTAAATTTTGTAAATTTTGTAAATTTTGTAAATTTTGTAAATTTGTTTGTAAATTTTGTAAATTTTGTAAATTTTGTAAATTTTGTAAATTTTGTAAATTTTGTAAATTTTGTAAATTTTGTAAATTTTGTAAATTTTGTAAATTTTGTAAATTTTGTAAATTTTGTAAATTTTGTAAATTTTGTAAATTTTGTAAATTTTGTAAATTTTGTAAATTTTGTAAATTTTGTAAATTTTGTAAATTTTGTAAATTTTGTAAATTTTGTAAATTTTGTAAATTTGTAAATTTGTAAATTTTGTAAATTTTGTAAATTTTGTAAATTTTGTAAATTTTGTAAATTTTGTAAATTTTGTAAATTTTGTAAATTTTGTAAATTTTGTAAATTTTGTAAATTTTGTAAATTTTGTAAATTTTAAATTTTAAATTTTGTAAATTTTGTAAATTTTGTAAATTTTGTAAATTTTGTAAATTTTGTAAATTTTGTAAATTTTGTAAATTTTGTAAATTTTGTAAATTTTGTAAATTTTGTAAATTTTGTAAATTTTGTAAATTTTGTAAATTTTGTAAATTTTGTAAATTTTGTAAATTTTGTAAATTTTGTAAATTTTGTAAATTTGTAAATTTTGTAAATTTTGTAAATTTTGTAATTTTGTAAATTTTGTAAATTTTGTAAATTTTGTAAATTTTGTAAATTTTGTAAATTTTGTAAATTTTGTAAATTTTGTAAATTTTGTAAATTTTGTAAATTTTGTAAATTTTGTAAATTTTGTAAATTTTGTAAATTTTGTAAATTTTGTAAATTTTGTAAATTTTGTAATTTTGTAAATTTTGTAAATTTTGTAAATTTTGTAAATTTTGTAAATTTTGTAAATTTTGTAAATTTTGTAAATTTTGTAAATTTTGTAAATTTTGTAAATTTTGTAAATTTTGTAAATTTTGTAAATTTTGTAAATTTGTAAATTTTGTAAATTTTGTAAATTTTGTAAATTTGTAAATTTTGTAAATTTTGTAAATTTTGTAAATTTTGTAAATTTTGTAAATTTTGTAAATTTTGTAAATTTTGTAAATTTTGTAAATTTGTAAATTTGTAAATTTTGTAAATTTTGTAAATTTTGTAAATTTTGTAAATTTTGTAAATTTTGTAAATTTTGTAAATTTTGTAAATTTTGTTTTGTAAATTTTGTAAATTTTGTAAATTTTTATAATTTTTGTAAATTTTGCAAGTTTTTTAAATTTTGTAAATTTGACCATTTGAACATTTTCAACAGTTTGAAAGGTTTGAACAGTTTGAAAATTTTGGAAATTTTGAAGATCGTTCGAAATTTAAAAATTTTGAAAACTCTGAAAGTTGTGAAAATTTTTAAAATTTTGGGTTCCGAAACTATCTGAAAATCTTGAAAATAAGATTTCCAACTTCCTTAAAATCCCAACACACATCAAATTAGCTAGTTTTTAGATAAAATGCCTAATAGCTCAACAACTAGTAGTAATAAAAACCCATAAGTACGGGTATGTTACATCGATATTCTTTTAAACGACTATCCAACAAAAATAGAGCATTGCATTTATCAACCTTGGTATCTGGATAATTGTGAGTGTTCTACAAACGTTCCCCTATACCATATATAATATGGACGGTTATAGTTTTTTTAGACATCTAGCATCCATCATAAAGATGTTAACTTGGCTTCTCTCATGATGCACCTTACGAGTATACATAACATACACAGTGAGTGCTTTCTACCTCAAAAATGAACCACACGGGCATCCTTTTGCATTACACAGTTTTCTTGTCGAATTATCCCCGTAGGGACGCGAGAGATCAGTAACCTGACATAATATACCGCTAGTATCAGTTTCGCTAAAGCCCAGCTTTGCCTGTTTTTCTAAATCACATCCTTGGGTCTCTCTAAGTAGACTACTTTTTCTTGTGGACCTGCGGTATCGGTCTACGTTGTAAGCTGAATTATAAGCCGCCATACTTTTGAAACCCTCTCCGTCTCTATTCCACCAGAAAACAGGATGTTCCAAAGGATAACACGGGTTGTTTTCAGATCATGGAATAAAAATCCAAGTGCTGATTTTCGGGATATTCCAAGACTACTGGCATATTATATCAGTTGATCGAAATTTTCAAATACAGCATCAAAATACAAGATACAAATTTGTTCCTAATCTACTGTCAAAACCTTTTGAATACAGTGGTTATTCATATCATTGCTAGAGATTTTTTAATAGATGACATGGTTGTTTCTGAACTGAAAGTTATGAAAATTTTGTAAATCTTAAATATTTTGATGGTTTTAAGAGCATTGAAGATTTCACAAATTTTGGAAACCTCAAAAATCATGGAAATTTTGAGTATGAAAATTTTGGTAATCTAGAAATATCTGGAAATTTTAAAAATCTTGAAAATTTTGAAATTTACGAGAATTTAAAAAATTCAAACACTTGGAAATTTTGAAAAATTCAACAATTTTGAAAATTCCCAAAATTTTGAAAATTTCGTAAATTGGAAATTCTGAAACAACATTCAATCTTCAATGAAGGCCCAACAAATGATTATTTTTATTATTATGTTTACTAAAAAAATAGAATTATCTAGATCCTTCTTCGCTTTCTATTATCCAAACAGTATGGATCATGTCAGTCGGAAATAAATAATCCCTAAAAGTGAGAGAAGCTAAAACAAGGAACACGTACTCTGGACATGTTACAAGTGCATGGTGCTAGCTGCATATCAGGATGATTTTTATATCTATTTTTGATCCTATTATATGGCCTGTTACACGAGCTTATTAAGGTTATCTGGGGTGCATAGTGCTAAAGCTTAATTGAACGATGAAATATGCAGGGTAATAATAAAGCCTAATGGCTTATTAACGCGCATATTGGAATGATACGGCCTTGTTCTATGACACTTGTGATGGTCCTCCATTAAAGCCACCTGTTATGATGATAAATCAAGCTTTACCAGCAATTCAACGACCAAACTTTGAATGCAGAAGAATTAGACGCACGGCTTTTTGTGAATTATGCTTGATTTTTCTCATAAGTAGCTCCAGCTCACAGTGGAAGCAATATTCGGCCTATGGTGCTTGGCACCGATTCGGGATAACGTGGCAGTTGGAGAGAACTACTAGTTTTTACATCGCCATAATTACCTCTGAAAAGTTCGACAGCTTTGAAGATTTTGAAAATCACGAGAGATCTTAACATCCGAAGTATTTAAAATATAGAAATTTTCTAAATGTTGATAATGTTGAAATTTAGAAAATTCTGAAGATTCTAAAAATTTTGAAAATCTTGAAAATTTTGAATACTCAAAATTTTGAAAATCTTGAAGTTGGGGAATTTTAAAAAATGAGATTTTTGAAAATTTTGAATATTTTGAAAAATCTGAAAGTTTTGGAAAGTATGAACATTTGGAGACTTTTTAAAATTTAGAAAATTATGAAAATTTTGAATATTCCGAAAATTTGAAAATGTCGAAAATTTTGAAATTTCGGAAATTCTGAGAATTTAGAAAATTTTGAGAATCGTGAATATCTCACGAAGTTTGAAAATTTTGAATATAGTGTAAAAATCTGAAAATTTGAACATTTTTAAAATTAACAAAATTATGAAAATTTTGGATATTCCGAAAATTTGAAAATGTCGAAAATTTTGAAATTTCGGAAATTCTGAGAATTTAGAAAATTTTGAGAACCGTGAAAATTTTGAAATATTTGAATATCTCACAAATTTTGAAAATTTTGAATATATTGTAAAAATTGAAAATTTTGGAAATTTTTAAAATATTGAAAATTTTGAAGATCTTGAAAATTTAGAAAATAATGAATTTTGAAAGTTTTGTATATTCCGAAAATTTTGAAAATGTCGAAATTCTGAGGATTTTGAAAATTTTGAGACTCATGAAAATTCTGAAATATTTGAATATCTCACAAATTTTGAAAATTTTGACGATTTAGAAAATCCCAATAGTTTTGATAACTTTGAACATGCTGAATATTTCGGAAATTTTGAAAATTTTAAAAAATTTGAAAATCCTGAAAATTTTACATATTTCACAAATTCTGAAAATTTAGAAATCCCAATAATTTTGAAAGTATTCGAGATTTTAAGAATACTTTTTTTGAGAGCTTGAAAAATCCTGAAATTGGAAATTTTGAGAATGCTGAAGAGTACCCGCACCATTTTTTATGAAGCTTTGGTTACCCTCAAACTCTAACTTTTAATGGATGTAATGAAAGCAAAAATAAAGTGGAGAAAAACGCACACTGATCATACACAGATTCAGAATGGACGCGGTACAACTTAAGTACATCGCAGCTTTTTAAAATATCGAAAATTTTGAGAATCTTGAAAATTTAGAAAATTATGAAAATTTTGGATATTGTAAAAATTTGAAAATTTTGGAAAGTTTTGGATATTCCGAAAATTTTGGAAATGTCAAAATTCTGAGGATTTTGAAAATTTTGTAAATTTTGAGAATCGTGAAAATTCTGAAATATATGAATATCTCACAAATTTTGAAAATTTTGACGATTTTGAAAATTCCAATAATTGTGATAACTTTGAACATGCTGAATATTTCGAAAATTTTGAAAATTTTAAAAAAATTGAACATCCTGAAAATTTTGTATATTTAAGAAATTCTGAAAATTTAGAAATCCCAATAATTTTGAAAGTGTTCGAGATTTTGAGAATACTTTTTTTGAGAGCTTGAAAAATCCTGAAATTGGAAATTTTGAGAATGCTGAAGAGTATCCGCACCATTTTTTATGAAGGTTTGGTTACCCTCAAACTCTAACTTTTAATGGACGTAATGAAGTAATGAAAGCAAAAATAAAGTGGAGAAAAACGAAAATAGTTATGAATCAATGTTAACTCACCTATCCACACTGATCATACACAGATTCAGAATGGACGCGGTACAACTTAAGTACATCGCAGCTTTTCAAAATATTGAAAATTTTGAGAATCTTGAAAATTTAGAAAATTATGAAAATTTTGGATATTGTAAAAATTTGAAAATTTCGGAAATTCTGAGAATTTATAAAATTTTGAGAATCGAGAAAATTCTGAAATATTTGAATATCTCACAAATTTTGAAAATTTTGAATATATTGTAAAAATTTGAAAATTTTGGAAAGTTTGAAAATTTTGGAAATTTTTAAAATATTGAAAATTTTGAAGATCTTGAAAATTTAGAAAATAATGAATTTTGAAAGTTTTGTATATTCCGAAAATTTTGAAAATGTCGAAATTCTGAGGATTTTGAAAATTTTGAAAATTTTGAGAATCATGAAAATCCTGAAATATTTGAATATCTCACAAATTTTGAAAATTTTGAAGATTCAGAAAATCCCAATAGTTTTGATAACTTTGAACATGCTGAATATTTCGGAAATTTTGAGAATTTTAAAAAATTTGAAAATCCTGAAAATTTTGCATATTTCAGAAATTCTGAAAATTTAGATATCCCAATAATTTTGAAAGTATTCGAGATTTTAAGAATACTTCTTTTGAGAGTTTGATAAATCCTGAAATTGGAAATTTTGAGAATGCTGAAGAGTACCCGCACCATTTTTTATGAAGCTTTAGTTACCCTCAAACTCTAACTTTTAATGGACGTAATGAAGTAATGAAAGCAAAAATAAAGTGTAGAAAAACGAAAATAGTTATGAACAATGTTAACTCACCTATCCACACTGATCATACACAGATTCAGAATGGACGCGGTACAACTAAGTACATCGCAGCTGACCCACAAATTGCACACAATCTCCCCGAATATCCAACTGCCTTTGATCTCGTATATCATCGCCATCGGCATCACTAACACGGCCACGCACAAGTCACTCACGGCTAGACTCACTAGCAAATAGTTACACGGCCGACGAAGCTTACGCACCAAACACACAGCGACGCACACGAGAATGTTACCTGAAACAAATAGAAACTGTCATTTTAAATAATAAAGATTCATTACTAGCTAAACGATCAATCTCGGCATTATCCTGCGGAGATATGCACAGGCTCCTAAGCTGCGAAAAATAACACTGATCAACAGCCAAAAAATATCCTAAATAAAATCAACAAAATATTACTATTTTTAATGTGCTTGAATGAAACTTATTTTTTCAATATTAGTTCAAGTTTTAGAGATACGGTAATTATATGTGTTCCTGCTGTGACAGTGTTAATATACTGTAATTCACAAGAATGCACGTGCTACATTTTTACGAGTATATTCGGCAAGAAAAGATGATGTAATCGGCATGATTGTGTTACGTTATACATACGTGTACATTATATTGTTTTATATTAGCCATTTTTTCCCCAGTTGGCTAACAGCGTTCATGCAAGATATCTCGAAAGTGTGTAAACAATCCAGATCAGTTTTGTTACGTGTGTGGTGATGTGACTTTTGCGTCTCAGAGACGGTCTATTACTCCACTAATAACAAAGGCATATCAGCTTTATTTCGGTTGTAAACTAGGTGATCAAGACAAACAGTGGGCACCCCACATCTGCTGTAATACATGTGCTTCAAGTCTGAGGAGCTGGTTAAATGGCAAAAAACGGTCTATGCGCTTTGCTGTCCCAATGGTTTGGAGAGAGCCTACAAATCATATTAATGATTGTTACTTGTGCATGGTACTTTGTGTTGGACAAGCCACAGGTATGTCCAAGAAAAAAAAATCAGTCATTAACTACCCAAACGTACCATCTGCGATGAGACCTGTGCCTCACAGTGACGAAAATCCTATTCCAAAACCCCCAGAATCCTACACTTGCGAATTAGAAAACGAATCAGATCATGGCGATCGAGTGATTCGTCAGGAAGAAGATATACCATCAACGTCAAGAGATCCTGATTTTATACCGAGCACGTCATGCCACAACGGCACAAAATAACACAGACAGAATTAAATGATCTTGTAAGAGATTTAGAACTTCCAAAATGTAAGGCAGAGTTACTTGGATCGAAACTGCAGCAGTGGAACTTGTTAGAAGACGATGTTTCGGTATGTGTTTTTCGTAAACGCCACAAAGACTTAGAACCATTTTTCAATATGGAGAATAACCTGGTCTTCTGCAGTAACATTAACGGCTTACTGGCGGCTTTAAATATAAACTATAACCCAGAAGAATGGAGATTGTTTATAGACAGTTCAACATTGAGTTTAAAGGCAGTGTTATTGCATATTGGAAATATTTTACCATCTCTTCCTGTAGGGTATGCAGTTCACATGAAAGAATCATATGACAATATGAAGTACCTATTGACATGCATAAAATGCGATGAGCACCAAGGGCATATTTGTGGCGATTTGAAAGTTGTTGCTCTTTTACTTGGGCTGCAGCTAGGCTACACAAAGTTTTGCTGTTTTTTGTGTGAATGGGACAGTCGGGCAAAGGCACTTCATTACACCAGACGAGACTGGCCTGTTCGTCAATTCCTTGAGCCAGGTCAAAAGAATGTACAGCATATGCCATTAGTAGATTCAAAAAAAAATTTATTACCCCCACTGCATATCAAGTTGGGCCTAATGAAAAACTTTGTCAAGGCATTAGAAAGAGGTGGGTCAGCTTTTCAATACCTGCGTCAGAAATTTACAAGACTAAGTGAGGCAAAGGTTAAAGAAGGTATTTTTGTTGGGCCACAGATACGAAATATTTTGAAAGATACATAGTTTGAAAACACTTTAACAGGTATTGAAAAAACTGCTTGGAATGATTTCCGTCTGGTGGTCACTAATTTCTTGGGAAATAGAAAAGCTGACAACTATAAAACCCTTGTCAAAAATATGCTGTCGCCGTATCAAAAGATGGGCTGTAATATGTCTCTTATGATACATTTCCTACACTCACACCTGGACTTTTTTCCTGACAATTGCGGAGCCGTAAGTGATGAGCACGGCGAACGTTTTCATCAGGATATTTCAACAATGGAAAAAAGGTACCAGGGAAAGAGGAATCCTTCCATGCTTGCAGACTACTATTGGACTCTTGGTAGAAATGCTCCAGAAACGATCCATAAAAGAACAGCAAAAAGACAGCGCATATAGTGATTCTTATAAGTATATGAGTCTTGTTACTTTTTTTAATATATCCTTAAAAATAAAAAAAAATTCTAAACCGCAACTAATTTTTTTATTTCATTGTCATTTTTGGATTCAGCCCCCCAAAATTAAGAAAGAAGTGCACTTTTCCCACAAGATACAATTAAAAAACTAAAATTTGTTGTCCAGTGTAACCATCGCCATTTTCAGAAAAAAAAAGTTGTACATAGTCAATCTTCTTGACGCTGTTATTGTCTCATTTTGCCGGTTCTCCTGGTATATAGGCGCCATGTTCCAACCGCTCGCCTACGCAGTATCCAGCCTCTCATATCAAATCACATGCATAACAGCCCTTATATCCGCAATACGTGATTTCGTGCGCCCCAAGCATATCCCCCCAATTACCTTTATTCCGACAAATTTGCCGTGCGTGAGATGAAAAAACACGCATTTTAAAGAAAATGTCTCCAGAATTCACGCCAGACCGAGATATTTAAGATCTATACATCCAATTACCCAAAGTTGACCCCAACGGATCGAGTTGTTTTGGGGTATTGCAATATGGAATGTCGGAAGGATAAAAGAAAATACCCCTCAGAAGAGACAACTCGCATTTACGGTTCATTTTTGAAAGCTACTATAGCTTTGTTGCTATTGCCGACACAGCAGCAGATAAGACTTATCGTCTTTTCATTTTACGGATGTTAAACCTTAAATCCTAAATGATTGTTTTTCTCAAGTTACTAATCTCAACACTCTAATGTGTCTTGTTAATTTTAGTTTAGGGTCTTTACATATACAATTTTTTGGAACTTGGAAACTTAATCTTGACCAGACTAAAAAGTTTGGTAGTAGTCATAATCTCCGTTTGAACCCTTTAAAGACAAATACTCAAGTAAAACAAAAATCATGCTTTAAAAGTGACATAAAGGTAATAAAATAGGTCCTGCAGATCATTCTAAGTACTTAGGTATTACAACTTGCCAGTGCTGTGCGATTCTCAGAGTTTTACTATTATTTATATACTGAGGCTAAATGACATAAATCTGCAAGGAAGCAATAATTGTCTGAATCTTTCTTGTTTTCAAAGATACCGTATTGTTTAGCGGTTTACTGTCCCTATTGACATATTAAAACAAAAAATCGTATTCAATGTAATGTAAATACTTGTTGCCGACTTGTAAACGATCTCAAAAAATATGATCATGTATTATCGAAGGTCATTAATCACCTCAACTGGATGAAAGTTGATAAAATCTTCATTCAAGAACATCGTCATACGAGCATTTAGTAACCAAATTCATACTTAGAGGAAAGAGCAACCTAAATGGCACTGATTTAGTCAAAATAAAGGCACTATCAGGTCTCTTACTTTATACAGGGTGGCGCATCGAAAACGAAACAGACGCATTTACTGGCAGCTCAGGACCGGTATTCTCGTTCTTTGGCGTGAAAGCGATACGTTTTCAAAACGCTTAGCGCCTCATGTCGTACGGCAAAGCGCTAAGCCTTCGGTTTTGGTATTCACGTTGCTGTGCGAACGCTTCGGGTTCAAAACGCTTGGCACATATTGGCAACGGTGGTTGTTCCAGTGTTACCAACATATTTGTCTCGAATGTCACCAATGTTATATAACCACAGTACTAAAAAAGTTTCTATTTCTGGCATTATGATGGTTGTCACTTGTCAGATGCGTTTTGTCAGTGTCACTCGAGTTTCGAAATGTCTCGTAAACAAATTTCCATTTTACAAAAAACTATGCTAATTGATTTCCTGGAAGACCACCCGGAATTGGTGTCTCAAAAACAAACAAACCAATACACCAGCGCAGACGCCCGCAAGTTATGGGTGGAGTTGAGCTAAAAGTTAAATGCAATTCCTGGGGCCACTAAGCAATGGACTGAATGGAGAAAGGTACATGTAACATATTTGCAACTTTGTATTGAATTAATATGCTATTGACGGACATAGATCCATAGTTAGGAATGGTACTTCTGTTGTAATAACGAATTCACTAGAATACTAGGATCTATCGTTAAAACACGGCAATAGAGACTCGAGTCAGTTTGATTGTTACTCAGAATATTTGTTGTATATGAAGAGGGTCGGTTTTTAATACTCCAGTTTTCCTTTTCTAGACCTGGACAGATATGAAAACCAGAGCAAAAAGGAAGAAGTCAGAAAATAAAAAGGAAGCTAGCCAGACCGGAGGTGGACCAAGCTCGGCAGAGAGCTTGAATGAAATCGATGACAAAGTCTTGGAAATAATGGGTATGGTCATAATTCTTATATGGGTGACTAATATTTTAGTCATTCGTTAAATGTTTTTATTAGATGAGTTTTTTTCTTAATATTGATACTCAAAGTATGGATCTACTGTGATTTAAGTGTTGATGAGATTTATTATTCATTTAAACAATGTAAATGATCTACATAGTTGTGCCTATCTTGCTCCATTGTAGTATCACCATTACTTTCAGTAAATGTAAAAGCTCTTTTGTATTCTAGGGGGAGAAATCTTAATTGAAGGGCTCCAAGTGCCAGAATTAGGATTATTATACACCTTACCGAAAGAAGCTGAGGTTGGCGAAGTGCCTGTATGCAAAAGTTATCCTGTACATGATAATGATGACAAGGACAAGGAAAACCTGTGTCCAAATAATATTAAAGAAAAGAACCTTAAACGCGTGAGACCACCACATGGCACTAAAAGGTGTAGGCAGACAAATTCAATACCATCATCAGTCCAGGCCGCAAACGATTTAGTTGCAGCACAACTGCAACTAAATCAAATAAAGGAAAATTATTATAAAAAAAAAATTGAAGTTTTAGAAAGAATTGCTTCTAGTTCAGAAACAATTGCTAAAAAATATGCAT